ATCTGAAATGCTGTCTTCACATTGGCTGTTTCAAAAAGGACATAAGATACTGCTATGCAAGGATATTGTAAGAACTGAATGAATGAATAGAGATGGAAGTACTCTGCAAGCTGCTAACTGATGAGGAAATATTAGAGGAAGTACTATCCTCTAAAGGGGAAATTTATTCTCCTCATACAACATTCCAAACCTGTGCTCCTAGAGGAAGTAGCTTGGGGGATTCTCCAAAGGTAGGTCTTCCCAGAATTTATGCACTTATGAGAGTTATGCAAATATCTTACAGCTGAGAGAATTAAAGAAATTAATGTCCACTATGCTTAGCTCAATGCCCAGTACATCACCATTACCAACACAGCAAACACTTATATAGTGCTTTCTATGTGCTACACAAAGCTCTAAGTGATCTACATCTATTTGCTCTGGTAGCATTCAAGAAAATGTAGTTATTATTATTTTGTTATTATTAATTTCAAATGGTTTGTATTAATAGACATTAGGGGAAGGTGTAGAGGCTGGCTTGTCATTCCAGAGCCACTTGATTCTGAGGTGGAGGTTAATAATGTTCCATGGCACTTCCTTGGAAGAAGCAAAGAATGATTTAAGGGGGTCTTGAGTAGACTGTAGGCTTCTAGAATGAAAATGTAGTACTAGAGCAACCTCACAGGAAACAGGGCTGTCAAACAGGAGGGCTGTGTCCCATGATGATATCTGAATACCAATGTGGAAACTCTAATACAGGCAGGTTCTGAGCCATATCTGAAAGCATCTGGACAACTTCACCTAGGTACTTCAGTGAAGTATTATTTACTGATCATTTATAGATACTCACCCATTGAAGCCTCTACCTGATTTGAGAAGTAGAGATGATTTTTTGCCATTATCCAAATTCATACACAGCCAATTACATTGGAGCATGGGCTCAAATAGATAATCCTAACTGCAAGTTCAGACTTTCTTTTACCATGTTTGTCACCTATGTTTTAATTAAAATTTGAAAAGGTAGGATTATAGTTGAAGAAAAAGAATCCAAAAGCAAAATCTAGAAAGACTTCAATACTTGCTGAAAGGGGGGGAAATGGGCAAAGGATATGAACAGGCAATCTGCAGAAGAGGCATACAAATGCCAAAAACTATGAGAGGATAAAAACAAAACACACACTTCAAAATTACACATGCATCATTTTACATCCACCAAATTTGTAAAATGTAAAAGTCAGAAATAATAAGTACTGGAAAGGATGTGGGGATGAGAATTATAAATTGGTGTAATGACTCCAGAGAGCAGGTAATGGTTTTCTACAAATGGTAAAAATGCTCATGCCCTACAAGTTTAAGTAGAGTTCACGGGGAAACTAATCTCAGTTGCATACAAGGAGACATAGACAAGGATGTTACCTATTCATATTGAGAAAAAAAGGAAATCACTTAAATGTCCATTATCTGCGAGTGGATAAAGTATGGTAAATTTACACTCTAGTACACTACCCAGGAGTTAAAGTGAATAAACCAGATCAATGTATACACTATGGTGAATATCAGACAGACATTCTGACTGCGTCAGACAGACTTGACAAGTTTGCAGTATGATACAGAAAAGATTTGCCAGATAAGTACATGTTCTGCAGCTACTGCAGAGTGAAGAGGGAATATATTTGGAGCCAGAGGAATCAGTTCAAAGTACTCAACATCAGTGTTTCCAAACTTACCCCATTCCTTCCTCACTCGTCCTCATCACTGTCTCACCTTTACCCTTCTCTATTAGTCCAGTTTTTGGTACTGTAACAAAATACCTGAAGTTGGGTATAGAGGTGTGTTTAGCTCAGCTTGGGAAGCTGAAGCCCAAGATCAGGCAGATCTCATGGCAGATGACTTCACCATTTTGGGTGTGCATGAAGCAAGATCACACAGTAGACAGAAGCCAGAGAGAGGGGTTGAACAGCTGAACTTGGTCTTTGTACTCACAATACTAATGTACTGCACAAGACCAGTATTACCCCAGTGATGTCCCCAGTGACCCAACCACTGTTCCTTCCAGTAGGCCCTACCTCTTAAAGGTCCCAGCACCCCTTAATACTACCACAGGTGGACTAAGCCTTCGGCATATAAGTAGTCAGGGACACACTTAAATTATAATATATCCCAACCACAGCACCTTTAAACCCATTCTTCTTTCTTCCCCTATCCCTCTCTTAGGATCAATCTTAGGTTTCTAGGCGAGTTTCAGAGAAATTGCAAAACCCCCTGACATGATTAGTACAATTCTGTATTTAGGAGTACTTTTCTAGAGAATGGGTCCATGTCTTTCATTAGATTTGGAGAGGTCAGTTTCTCATAAGAGGATTAAAATCAAGGAAAAATGTTCAGAGAACAAATGTACTTTAATATAGTTCCCTTGGTCTATTGGAGTAGGAGTTATTTCTTATCAGAAGAAAAAAATAAAAGCAAGAGAAAATATAAAGTGATTTGTTCTGACCCTGTTTCCACCAGCCCTGTGCTTCAGAAGGAAATGCCCTGCCTTAAGAAACATAAACATCTCCATCCTTCCTAGCCTGCCAAACCTCCCATCCATCATTCTAGGCAGGCTCTGAGCAGAAGCAGCCGGTTTCCTTCTCTGCCATTCATGATCCTCTCCATCAGATGTCAGAGTCTGGCTGGGGCAAGCTTGTTGACAATTATGAAGATTTTCCTAACCCAGCCACAGAGCTTGTGCACTATCAGACCTTGCCAGCTGGGGAAACTACAAGAGATCAGGAAGCAAATACTAGCTTTGTAGAGTATGTACCCAAACCCACACAGGTCCAGGTATGGCTACAGAGGTTCTCTAGGACCTAGAGACCCTATGATCTAATTAAGCTCCTCTGCAATGTACAGTTGTGGGACCAAATGGATTTTCTGGTGATTCAAGTGAGATGGGAGTAATGCACACACCTGGAGTTGGCTGAGGTAAGTTAGGCATCTCTGCTGATTCTGGCAACCCGCACACATGTCTAGGTGTCTTTTGCTGTTAGCACATATGAACTACCTTCTGCCAGGAGAATGGCCTGTCTCAGCTCTGTTCTAAGTGTCTCTCATTCTCCAGCACACTCATCTAGACATATTTTCATGGTGAGGGCGAAGGTACTCAACACTTGCTAATACATCATCAGCCAGAACTTGAGGCCTAGCCTCAAGTCAAGGACAGGGTGGCCACAATGCCCACAGCAAGGAGGAATGGCAAGCCAAGTGAAATCCTGCCTTTCTGATACTAGGCTATACCTTTTGCCACCTACAAAACACAGGAATGTCTTTTAAATCTCCACGCAAGTAAGATACCACTTTTTACCTATCTAATTGGTGAAGGTCTTTTAATGTGGTAATATACATCTCATAACAGAGTGAGAAAACAGGTACCTATTACGGGTTTGAAATGGCTTGGGTATCCCCCAAGGGTCTATGTTTTGGGGGCCTGGTCCCAGGGTGGTAATATTGGAAGGTCCTGTGGAATCTCAAAGAGCATAGTGGGAGGTCTTTGGGCTACTGGAATATTAACAAATTTCTCATGCAACCCTTGCGCTCTTACAGGTGGTTGTCAGGAACAAGCAAGCCTGGTTCCTCTCTCTCCCTGATTCTGTCTAGCAATGTGAGGCTTCCTCCCACACATGCTCCTACCATGTGGACACCATGGCCACTAGGCCCTCGTCAATGGACCAACAGGGCCACCTAGTCTTGCACTTTGATTTGCCACAACTGTGAACTAAAAAAACCTTTTTTTTCTTCACAAGTTATCTATCTCAGATAGTTTGCATAGTATACCTGAATCATATTTATTGTGAAATATTGCAAAAGATGTGGACCTGGAATTCTTTTCCTCCTTGTATGCATCCCCTCTTTGCAATACAACTTAACATCTCTTCCCTTCATGAATCTGGGTCATAAGACTGGCTTAGGCCAATGGAGTGACAGCCAAAGTAACAAAGCACTTGGACATTGAGAATTGCCCCTCTTATTGTGCTTGAAAGCCTGAGGCCACCATGTGAATCAGTCTAAGCTAGCCTGTTTCAGGATGAGGGTGAAGCCCCATGAAGGAAAATGAAGGTGCTTCAGACAACCTGGCAGCTAAACAGAGAGGTATGAACCAGTCCTACTGAGATCAGCCAAACCTGGCCTAGACAAGAAGTGTCAAACAGATGAGCCCAGCTCAAACTGCCAAGTCCCAGATCATGAGCTAATAAAATATGCCAATCCATCCATCATATTCTCACAAGGGTCATTGTGGCTGATAAGTAGAGCTGTGATATAGCTTCACTTGACAAATATTTATTGAGACCCTACTGTTATCGGCTAGGATTGTTCTGGGCAATAATGGTATAAAATAGAGGGAAGGGGTTTCTGTCCACATGAAGCTTGCATTCCAGATAAGAGACTTCTTTCTAATTACAAAGTATACTAGATTGAGCAAGAAAGATACATACTCCAGAGAATAAGGATAATAACAGATATTGCTATGTTTCAGATGCCTTTCAAATGAAGGTAGGGAGTGATGTGGGGAGTTGAAATATTAATGAAGGTCAGACAGGACCTCTGAGCAAAGATTGGAAGAGCGGGGCAGAATGAACCTTATCTGAGCAAACAGACTTCCAGGGCAGGGGAACCTCAGAAGCAAAGCTAAGCATTGGCTGAGGGCAGTGCACAGTTTAGTATGTGAAGAGGTAAAAGGTGGGCCACATTGTGCAGCTACTACAAGGAGTCTGTTATAGATGCTTGTACACTTCTAACTTCTTTGACCATGTGCATACATGTGTTCTTTCAAAATGATGATCTTTATATAAATCTTAATATACAGATCAAAAGCATAGCCATCCTGAGCCTCACTGCCAGATCCCCATAACTGTGGGAGCCACGTGCATTTTATCATAATCACTGGCTACTGCATCTTTGGAGCTTGCTGGAAACTGCAGAAGAATCCTATCATCTGTGGACACACACTGCCCTCTGCTGTTAACTTCTGGATTAGCACTCACCCATTTCACCTGAGGAAGCTCACTCACTGTCCCAGGAGAAAGCTGGTGAGTGACCAGTTATCAGAACATCTTCATTAACAGTAAGCTTCACTGCCTTCAGGAAGCCCTGGAAGGACAAGACAGAAGGAGAAAGTAAGTCCCAAACCTTCATTCACCCATTTCCATCTGTTCATTACCTTTTTTAAAACTATTTTTAGAGCAGTTTTAGGTTTATGTAAAATTGAAAAGCAGGTGCAGATTTCCCAGGTAGCCTCTGTCCCCACACATGCAGAGCCTCTCCCATAATCGACATCATCCACCAGACTGGTCGTTATCACCACTGATGGACCCACATTGACTCACAGTTGTCACTAGAGTGCATAGTTTACACTGGGTTCATTCTGGGTATTTTGAGCTCTAGGTTTGGACATGTGGATAATATCAGATAGGCACCACTGGACTATCACACAGAGTAGTCACTGCAATACAAATCCTCTGAGTTCTACAAATTTATCCCTACACACCCCACAGCTCCTAACCCTGGTAATCATTGGTTTTTGTGTTGTCTGTTTTTTACTGTTGCCATAGTTTTGCCTGGAAATCTGTATGATTCCAGTCAGTTGATATTGCATATTACAATGTGAAAAGTCTCAAATATTTGCTAATTTTATCCTCCACAAACACCTGCTGGAAGAGCTAGGTGGGCACTCAGCCTACTTTGCAGATGGGAGAATGGAGACCTTGGACAGCCCACACAACTTGTACTTGGCCTCATTGGCCAGTGCATGGTGGAAACCTGGATGAGAATCAGAACCTTCCAAGCGCAAAGAAATGCAAAAAGGATAAATGAGTTTTTCCAAATCACATAAATGTAGTTCCAAGATAAAAAGCCATGAACTATCTGTCATCAACCCCACCAAGACTCCTTCTTATGTTCCCCTACACCTGCCTTGAGTCTCCACCACAGCCCATAAATGACTCTCTAGCTTGAAATGTGAAAGGGTTTGCAGCCTTTGGTAGAGAGTTGGGGAAGTGAAGGAAAACCAGGATTCTGGACAGTGGGCAGATGCCACACTGTACCCTTTAGGTAGTATTTTCTCATTTTAATCCATGCGTCTCTCCTTGGTACCTCTGGCTTCCACTGGGAGTAATGAATGCTTTCTACACCCATGCCCTCAGGGTTGAAACGTTAAAGCAGAAATGCAAGAATAAAGGCTTTTTAGTTTAAAATATACTTTTGAAATTCAGAGGAGATCATTTTAGAGAAAAGGTTTCTGAATCTTCAAAGTCTAGGCTTGGGATATTAATAGCCAAGACCCTGAAAATCTCACCATCTAGTTTAGGCTGCCAATTGCATATTTAGAGGGTGAGGCATCATACTCTCCTGCTTTCTGGGGTGATAAAGCTCCACTAAACAGAGAGAGGAGATTGTAGAGCCTGAGAGAAAACAACACTTATTGGATTTTTCCTGAAGGAAGGGGTCTTCAACTGTCTACCACAAAAACAGAAATGGAAGACAGAACTCCCAGGGCACTATGGGAAACCAAAAGTAAATAAAATGTATGCCCTGCCCATTATTTGGGACAAATTCTAGGATGGCAGCAAGTGTCCCAGTAAACCACTCATATCCCAGGCCTGTCGCCACCATTTCATTATCACCAGCCTCAGGCAACCATGACAGAAGATAAATAGTAGTTGTCAGCCTAAACTGGGAAAATCAGAGACTTTCAACACCCAGTGGATTCAAGAGACTATGTGAAGTTTCCCACTCCTCTCTGCCTTTACCTTAAACCAAGAAGGAACCAGGGAGGGTTGAGGAAGGACTGGTGGATCTGAGCAGACACTGCACTCTACCAAAGATGAGAACATAAACTTGGGAAACAATAAGCATGGGCCATCTTAGTGGATGCCAGAGGAGACTAGATCAGTTCTGGGAAACTGGGTGAGCCTCCAGAACACAGACTCAAGGAGAGAGAGACAACTGATGGAGATTAAGCAGAACTGATCAAGAAAACCTTGAGAAGAGGGGGTTTAGATTGAATGACTAATATTACATCCTTCCCTCCAGCATAACAAGATTCAAAATACAGTGGCACCTTTGTATTTGTCATTAATTGGTTCCAGAAGTCATAATGACAACCAAAGACAACAGGTAGAATACAAATTGTTTTTGCTGGAAAGGGTAGCAAGTTACAAGGCAATTGAAACCAACATGTTCTAGATTGCATGTTATGTGGAGTATTAAAAAAATTGTGAATACCACAACAAATTTTTTGCATCAAGTACCACACTCAGTAAGTTCAAAAGCAGACGAGTACTTAGAAATACCTATAGAAGTTAGGCTGGATTCTAAAAATAAAAGGAGGTGATATGTTAGCACATTAGGGTTTTATAGCCTAAGAAATGTGTGCACACTAACAAGAGGATAAAATATGCTGAAACAGAACTCAAAATGTTGCCTTTGCTGAGGCTAACACTGCCTTTCCCACGCATGTGGAAGTGGTTTAAGACAAATCCCTTAACATTGAAGCTTCGAGGGATTGGCATTTTTTTATTTGTTTATTTGGTTGGTTGGTTTTGTTGTTGTTTTAAGATTAATAGTACCTCAAGGGGTTTTTCTGAGGATCCATGAGCCAGGGGATATAAGCTCTCCTGAAAACACTGTACACTATGACAAGTCACCAAAGAGACAAATGTAACTCCCCAAAAAGTCATTATTTGTAACCCTGACCTCTCTCTGAAGAAGGTGGTAACTGGAAGATGTTTTTATTTTGCTAATAGCGAGCAATCATTATCCTTAAACAGAGTCCACCAAAAAAATGTATACACACTTCAGCAATCTGCCATACTAATAAATGTCTGGAAGCTAATGGCCACCACTCTGAGCACTCCTTGTACCTGTAGGGGCCAAAGGTAACTTGCATTAATCTCACCATGTCTCAATAAATTTAATGTTGAAATATTTATACAAGCTTTTCTTTTCCTGACCTATATATCATGTATACATTTTCTTTTTGGTGGACTCTACCTGTGACTCTGGCAAACAGGAAGGCAGCATTAATAAATATCAGTTTTCAACTTTAGGTATGAATGCCAGAAGAAATCCAGCTTAGCACAACAGGGGAGTTTATTATTGTCAGAGAAGATGAGTAAGAGGTGGTGGAAGCCCAGAATACTAGGTTTGGTCAACAAGATACCTTGTAAAATTATTTTTGAAATGGCATACTGTAAACTCTCCACTGCTTCTTATGCTAGGTGACTTTCTGTTACTCTGACAAAATGCCTGAGATAACCAAATGAGGAAAGTTTTACTTGGGCTTGTGGTTTCGGAGTTCTCAGTCCATGGCCTTTTGGCCCTGTTGTTTTGGGTCTGTGGCAACAGAGTGTTATCATCATGGGGGTGAGTGGCAGAGGTGACCTTTTCACCAAAGGGCAGCTGGAAAGCAAAGAGAGGGAAAGAAAAGAGAGGTCAGAGTCCCAATAGTTCTCAGGCATATACCCCTAGAAGCAACCTACTTCCTCCTACTGGCCCTCACCTCCTGGAGGTCCCACTGCCTCCCAGTAGCGCTGTGGGCTTCTGACCAAGCTTTTGGGAGGCATTTACCCAAACTGTAGCACTTCCCTACTAAATCTCCTAAAAGATCTGCACTGCTCACTAATGCTGAAGGAGGCATGTTTTCTTTTTCAGATGATAAAAAGAAATAGCAAGTCCTATGAGATAATTGACAATGTGAAATAGGAAGGAAAGGGCTAAAGGTGTAGGGAAAGTGGGAAAGGCAAGGGAAAGGTAATAAGGGAAAAGAAAAAATATGAGAAAATGAAAAAATGGAAATAAAGTGTTTGTAAAGGGAGAGGAGAGAAGGGGGTGAAGGGAGGGCAGGGACAAGGGGAAAAAATGAGAACCAAGACCTGTCATGTAAAGGTACAAGATCCCAATATTGAATGTAACTGTACTGTATGCCTAAAATGTACCAATAAACTCAATAAGAAAAAAAAATAGCAAGTCCTGTTATAATTGTATCATACAATGAAAACTTGAATAATCGAATGTAAATTACTATAGGCATTATGAGAAACAGTATGGCAGTTCCTCGAAAACAATTAAAAATAGAAGTACCACATGATCCAGAAATCTCACTGTGGTTATTTATCCAAAAGGAAAAGAATGAGCAAAGTAAAGAGACATTTGTCCTCTCATGTTTATTACATTATTCACAATAAAAATATGAAATCAACCTAAGCATCCATAAACAGATGAATGGATAAAAATACTATATATATGAATATATGTGATCTATATAAATATAGGATCTAGTGGAATATTATTTAGCCATAAGGATGAGATACTGTCATTTGTAACTTCACAAAATAAACCAGGAACATATTGTGTTAAGTGAAATAGCCCCAGCACATAAAGACAAAAACTGCATGATCTCTCTCATTTGTGGAATCTAACAAAGCCAATTCTATTAAAACAATGATGGTGAACCTTTCAGAGCTCTCAATGATATAAACAGCCCACTGCAGTGTGTGTCGCCATCATAGAAGAATAGCACAGAACAGTGGCTACCAGAGGCTGAAAATGTGAGGGTCAAGGGGAGAGACTAGGCAATGGGTAAAAAGTTGCACTTAGATAGAATTAGTTCCTTTGTTCTATGGCACAATACAGTTAATATAGTTAGCAATATTATGCTGTATATTACAAAATTACTAGAAGAAAAGATTTTGAGTGTTCTCACTCCAGAGAAACAAGAAATGTCTGAGATAATAGGTACGTTTAATACTCTGCTTTGGTCATAACGCAATGTAAACACATATCAAAATGTCACACTTTACCCAATAAATATGTATGATTATTATGTGTGAATTAAAAACAAAACTTTTTTTTAAAAAAACTATCATTCTGTAAGAAGACAGATTAAAGATTACCATTAACATCCTTACCCTCAGGAAGTCCAAAGTGCAGAAAAATGACACATCTATATTAAAGAAATCATTTTTTAAAACCATCTGAATAGTAAAAATTCTTCTGGAAACATATACTAATGTATGTACATGCTGGATGGGGCAACTAACTCTACCTGAGAAAATGAGTGGACTTTCATGTAGTGAAGTAGTCATCTGAAAGATGGAAAAGAGAAAATCATTCCATTTGGCTAAGAGAAAGCATTCCCAAACAACCGTGTCTCTGTTAGACGTCATGAACAAGAAGGTAGATGAGGACTCAGTCTTAGAAAAACATGGCTGAAGTCAAAGAACAGGGACTGAATGAAAGGTATGTGTAAGTATATATAGATGTTTATGTGTATATTAGAATTGAACCATGTTATTATTAGCTTAACTAAAAGAAGAAAGTGCTGAGGGTGTAGCTCAGCATGTGATGAGGCTCTGGGTTCCATCCTCAGCATTTAAAAAAGAGAGAGAATGAGAAGGAAGAAAAAAGAGAGAAGAGGAGAAGGAAGATGGAAATAAACTAAGCAAAGAGAAGAGACTTTTTTATCATAATGACAAAAATATAAACTATATAAAGATCTAACCATCATAAATGTGTTTATACCAAATATTATGCCCTCAAAATGCTACAGCAAAATAAAGAAAAGAAAAAAGAAACTCCTGGAGAATTAGACCAAAATATGATGATTGTAAACAATCATGTAATTTTCTTAGCCTATAAAAGGTCAAGTGAATAAATGTAAGAATACTAGTATATAAGCAATACAATTAATGAAGCTAAGATTAGGAATATTCAGTCTAAAAATAATTGTTGAGCACCTACTGTGTGCCTGTCATTATTCTAGATGTAGAAGCTACTAGAGTTAATAAAACAGAAATAAATTCCTGTGCTCGTGGGACTTACATTCCAGGGCAGAAAAGAAGACATGATAATCAGGTTAAAATAATGTGTGACAAATTTCTCCACTGGAAAGCTGATGTATTTCCTCTTGTAAATAATAAATTTCCTCTTGGGAGATCCTCTGAGATTATGTAAATGTTCTGTTTCTTCTCATATATTTACTTACTGACTTTAACATTCATTGAAGATATTTTCCTGAAACAATCATTCTTATGGTGATTGCCGAATGGTGATTTTTCTAATTCCTTTGTGGCTTCTGCACTTACTAATTGGAATTCTACTGTAAGCAAAATGTTTCCTTTCCTCGTTTATTTATCCATGTTTTATTTAAATCTCTATGAGCGCATGGATTCCTGTTTTATTCTACAAATTATAATCTAATATTGTCATTATTTATCCTGATGATCAAACTGTCCTAGATCTGGCTGTTGGGAGGCTCCTGAATCATTTTGACATGTCTGCGTCATTTGAGCGCTTCCTCTATTTCAAGCAGAAGATATTCCAGATTCATTGTGCTTTCCTACCCTTATCCTGAAGTCAACCATTTCTCCAGGAAGCCCTAGTTTCTTTTATTGGAGGATGGTTCTCAGACCCCAAGAAATACCACCAGGTGTTCTCGTTGTTACTGAGACTCCAGTACTCATGGTCCCTGTAGAGGACAGAGCCAAAGAGCAAGAGAGCAGGAGAGAAAAAGATTTAGAAGTTTAGAGGCAGAGACACACTTACATACTTCTTTCTGCATATATTCACTTATATTTAAAACCATGAGTTCATACTGGTAGCTGCAATTCCAATCCAGTATCACTGAATTTATTCTAACTTTTTTCATGGTTTTTTTTTCTAGCAATGAAAAACTTGTCTGTCATCCACAGTACATTTCCTTGTTAGGATACATATAGATTAGTTTCAGAATTCTTAATTTTTCGCTCCAGGGGAACAAACCCACAGGTGCTCTATCCCTGAGCTAGTCTGAGCAACTTGGTGAGACTTTGCTGCAAAATTAAAATAAAAAGTCTGGGATGTAGCTCAGATGTTTAGCATAGGTTCAATTCTCAGTACTGAAAACATATTTTTAAGTTCAGTCTCTGAAATATAAAAAGCTATGGACTAGTATTTTTTATTGAAGTAAGATAAAACTATATCCCAAAATAATACACTGAAGGCTATCACTAATATCAAAACAAATCAGGAAGCATGTTCATAGATCATAAGTACAAAAGGAAAGTTGGGACATTTCATTTGAGTTCAAAATTGTTTTGCCTCACTAATTTGGAATCACTGATTAAATGATATTCAAGATACTTCCAGACTATTCTTCACATGTCTTAATTCTTCCGTCATATTCTCTTCTTTCCTTTTTGCTGACCTTTTATACTGCATGCTAGGACAAACCAGCACAGATTTTATTTTCAATGACTTGATCAGCCTGGAGTTTTTTATATTGTCATGCATATCTTAGGATCTTTAATGGTCCCTCCTTATCAGTTTGTAAAATGCTTTGTAAAATGTTAATTTCTTGTCCAGTAAGTCTCAAAATATAAGTTACACTTAAAGTCTTTTCCAAATTTTCTGCTTTCCTCTTTTCTGTGTTGGGTGTGTGTGTGTGTGTGTGTGTGTGTGTGTGTGTGTGTGTGTGTGTGTGTTCAAACTATTGTCTCCTTTTAATAATATCATTTCCCAAATATTTGGTGATTCTTGAAGATGTGCTTATGTTTCAACTGGCAAAATGAAAACCTGAAAGATCTAAGAAATGAAAAGTGTAAATATGGTCATTCACTGAGAAAAAAAAAATCATCCCATCAGACTTCTTAACAACACTGAGTATCAGAAGACAGAGAAAAACAAAGTCTACAGAGATCTGAGGGGAAATTACATTAAGTCCAGACTTCTGGTTCTAACTGAACTGATGAAGAAAAGTACCAAGCTCATGAGGAGAAAAAATAACTCCCTCAAAATTAAGTTAGGTGTGGTTACCTTTAATCCCAGCACAATGGGAGACTGAGGCAGGAGGATGGCAAGTCCAAGCCCAGACAGGCAACTTAGTGAGACCATGTCTCAAAAACAATATTTAAAGGCTGGGAATGTAGCTCTGTATGAAGACCCTAGGTTCAATCTCCAGCCCTGGGACAAAAGAAAGGACAGAAAGAAGGGAGGGGGAGAAGGAAGGAAGGGAAGGAGGGAGGTAGAGAGGAAGGGAGGGAATAGTTGAGGAAGAAAAAATAATTGAGGAAGCAGAAGAAATTTTCAAAAATTATATAATTCATACTTTCTGACATTCTTTACAATCATAACTATGTATAAAATAATGTTAAGAAAAATTACATTATTTGTTTCTTTGGGGTTAATTTTTTATCAGTATATATGTGTGTATATATTAATTACACTCAGCTTCAGGGTTTGATTCACATGCACATCACATCTTAAGGATTTTTACTCCCCCTAAAACTCCCACCCCTGCTCTCCCTCCTTCCCTGGATCCTCTTCCCATCCCTACAGAATCCACCTGTGTTTTTAATATGTCTCTTTTATGTTGCTCTTTGAATTATTTGTATTTTATGTCTCTCCTACTAGAGAAACCATGT